TCTTAAAACGCACAGACAAGATTAAGCAATGAGGTAGACAGGATCCTTACCAGTGATGCTCTAAATGAGGGTCGGGTCTAACAACATGGATATAATGATTTCTCTACCACCACTCTCTCTTCATAATAAGGCAGACTTAGAGGACGAATCATCAGGTCCAAAAGCCCTTACTGCAGGAAATAGCTGAGGCCAATAATCAACAGGTACCTAAGAAAATGCTTTTAAGACACAATGAAGCAAAAAAAAAAAAAAAAGGGCGCCTGGGTGGCTCAGTCGTTAAGCGGCTGCCTTTGGCTCAGGTCATGATCCAGGGGTCCTGGGATCGAGCCCCGCGTTGGGCTCCCTGCTCCGCGGGAAGCCTGCTTCTCCCTCTCCCACTCCCTCTGCTTGTGTTCCCTCTCTTGCTGCATCTCTCTGTCAAATAAATGAATACAATCTTAAAAAAAAAAGACACAATGAAGCTTCTGTGATCCAGATCCCAAGGTTGGCATACAGGAAAGGAATGGCTCTTTTTAAATGACTACCTGCACCAGAGGCTGGGAAGAGGCATTAATCATTACATGCAGAATGCTGTAATTAGCAGCTTTTAAAAAGCCAAGCTTTTTGTGTTCAAGATGTAGAAAAACTGACACCGGACCATATACAAGACACACCCATAAACTTACGCACCCAATCAAGTAGGTAGTTCCCAGCTGCTACTATGTATCTAGCACACTAACATCACCTTCTAGTATAATAGTACAGTTTATATGTTTAACTTAATTTTTTTTATAAAGAAACTATGTTTCTTTTTTCTTTTTTTTATTTTATTTATTTATTTGAGACAGAGAGAATGAGAGAGCCAGAGAGCACATGAGAGGGGGGAGGGTCAGAGGGAGAAGCAGACTCCCTGCCGAGCAGGGAGCCCGATGCGGGACTCGATCCCGGGACTCCAGGATCATGACCTGAGCCGAAGGCAGTCGCTTAACCAACTGAGCCACCCAGGCGCCCTAACTTAATTTTTAATTTAGTTCTGTCCATTTGACTTGAACATCTAAATGGAAAAATTAAGTGAAAAAATAAAAATATCAAAGAACCTACCCATCCAACAAGTAACTCAATAGCTTTCCTTTTATCTCTGACACTTTTTAAAGACCTCCAGTCGTGTACACATCATAATTCTGTCTATCTGCAGCCAAGTGGTCTGGGTTCAATTTCCCAATCTGCCATGTAAAAGTCGTGAAACTGAAAAGTTACTTAACCTTTTTGTGCTTCAGTCTCTTCTGTAAAATGGGGATAATAACAGGACCTACTTTATAAAGTCATTGTGAGGATCAAATAAAATACATATAAAGCAACTGGAATAACATCTGTCACAAAGGTTCAATGAATGTTAGAATTTTTAAAAGCCAAGTTTGATAAACACGGTCTATGAGACTGAATACAGTACTGTATATCCATAACAGGTCTAGCATCTGACATAACAATTTTATAGTGCTTCAGAGTGTATGCAGCATATAATCTATTACTAATGACTTCAGGCACTGTGCAGGAAGCAAGCCGCCTCTCTCCTTGCCCCCCCAAAAAGTGTTCCAAAGATATTTTCATTGCTCAAGTCCTACCTAGCTCATGAACACGAAGTAAACCACTAACTATCCAGAAGTGTCCTGGTCCTGGTTGACTCTCTCTCTCTGCCAGTGGAATCAGAAGGAACAGAGTTGCCTCCATGCCACTTTGAAAAGCTTATAATATCCAATGAGTATTGTGGCTCACAAACTACAAAGGACCTCAGGAATGCCCCAGTCAGGTTTTCTCCTGCATGCCATACGGCACTGAGGAAATTCTGGGCACTTGATAATGTCCCTGGAGAATAAAAAGCCAGTATTCACCAAATTACCCCTCTTTGCTGCCAAAGAACAATGGGGCTTCAGTAATTTTCTCCTGTTACAGCAGAAATAGATAGGGCATGACTTCAACATTAGCAAAATGTGAAGATCACTCCAGTGTGCACTTGTTTACATCAGCATGAGGGCTGGCTAGCATGGCTCTGTGCTTTGGCCAGAGACTGCCCCTAGCCCCATTCAGCTGTTGGGAAAATGAGAGCCACAGATGAGAAAATGTGGCTCTGTACTACTCCCTCTCGACTTGGAGAACAAAACAACAAAAATTAAAAGCCTCAAATGTTTATAACGCTTCATCATAATTCAAAAGAATTGTCAGTAAATTCACCAGGTAAACTCCTTAAATTTATAAGATGGGGACCTCATCTTAATTTATCAAGCACTTAGTATACGCCTTAATCTAGAATATACTCAGAAAATATGTTCAACAGTGACTGAATGAATGATCATTTATTCTATGTAATTTCTATGTTCAACACAGGGGTGTCTTGATAATTATATATCAATATGCTATCTTACTTCTTATGCATGATGAAAAACACATTACTAATTTTTCCATTCCAAGCAATTTGTTAAAGGAAACATTACTTATGAACAGATTCTAAGCTATCAGGATGGTAAATTAAAAATGTACTTGCATGTTTTGGATACATTTTTAAAACCATTTGTCAGATTCTCGTTCTGGCAAGATTCTTACGACTAGCCACATTACTTCTTGAGCTTAAAATGAATCTTTATATTCTAGCTTCTTCCAATTAAGTAATAAATGTGTATGGCTCTTCAGCATTTATTAGTTATATACATCTTTAAGAAAACTATGAAATATGTTTTCATGTTCCATTTATTTGAACAAAAATTAGCTTACTTTCCTACTTCTTGAAATACCCCCATTGGTAGATAAAATGACTGTTTCTACATTACCTGTGTGATTATTTTTTCCATCAAAGGACCCAAGTCACACAGAATATACTAACTCTAGCCAATCTAAACATAGTGTCCCCTAAAAAACCTAATAAAGCCAAATGGCTAACAGACACATGAGAAAATGTTCAACATCACTCAGCATCAGAGTAATACGAATCGAAATCACAATGAGATACCACCTCACACCAGTCAGAATGGCTAAAATTAACAACTCAGGAAAAGACAGATGTTGGCGAGGATGCAGAGAAAGGGGAACACTTTTGCATTGTTGGTGGGAATGCAAACTGGTGCAGCCACTTTGGAAAACAGTACAGAGGTTGCTCAAAAAGTTAAAAATAGAACTACCCTAAAACCCAGCAACTGCAGTACTAGGTATTTATCCTAGGATACAAACATAGTGATTCGAAGGGGGCACATACACCCCAATGCTTATAGCAGCAATGTCCACAACAGCCAAAGTATGGAAAGAGCCCAGGTGTCCATCAACAGATGAATGGATAAAGATGTGGTATATACATATATAATGAAATATTACTCAGCCATCAAAAAGAATGAAATCTTTTTGGAACTAGAGGGTATCAGCTAAGTGAAATAAGTCAGCCAGAGAAAGACAATACCGTATGATTTCACTCATACGTGGAATTTAAGAAACAAAACAGGTGAACATAGGAGAAGGGAAGGAAAAATAAAATAAGATAAAAACAGAGAGGGAGAGAAGCCATAAGAGACTCTTAACTATAGGAAACAAACTGAGGGTTGCTGGAGGGGAGGCTGGTGGGAGGATGGGGTAACTGGGTGATGGGCATTAAGGAGGACACTTGATGTAATGAGCACTGGGTGTTATATGCAACTGATGAATCACTAAATTCTACCCCTGAAACTAATAATATACTATATGTTAACTAAATTTAATTTAAATAAAAAATAAATAAAAATTTTAAAATGTTTTTAAATTTTAAAAAAATTAAAAACTTTATAGCAATGCTGTCATGTTACTACTGAGATCAAATTATTTCTGAAAAGATCTGGAGCACGAGGAATTCCAGTATCTTTGTCATACAATTTCTGCTTTAGAAACTCTGGATCCATTTCTGAAAATAAAAATATGTACAAAGTGCTGGGAGCTAGGTGGGTGGGTGTGTGTGTGTGTGTGTGTGTGTGTGTGTAATACAAGGACCAAATCACAGCTTAAGTAAGTCTCCAAACCTGTCTCAGGCCAAAAAAGACAGATTCAATACCCACACTGGGGGCTAAAGAAGAGGGGCCAATTTTTGAAATAAAATTAATACATTGTATTTCCCTTAGAAAAACAGTTTTTAAGGCAATCATGACTAGTAGAGAGGTGAATTACATAACGATTGTGAACAAAAGCTGAAAAACTTGCTGTAACACGAGGCGAACACCCACACGGCCCTCCCTTGCACACCCCGCCCCTATGCGGCCGCCTGCACATGGCCACGCTCACTCGCTGCCGCTATGTGAAACATGCCCCGCCGTCTCTCTGAGGTTAAGTAAATGCCAACTACTTTCTGAAGTTTATCTGACCTTGACGGTCAGTAAATGCTACCTTTTGAGTTCAAACATTTTGTTAGACCTCCAAAATATATATGCTTAAATGTTACCACGAGCATATCATAAAAGACCACCACCATTCCTCCACAAACCCCAAAACTACAAACCAGGGACAGAATTTTTTCACTTTGGCTTCCCATCAATGTGCAGAGCACATACGAGTTAATACAAAATATAAAGTTTTCATCCCAGAGTTCCTCAAAAGAAAATAAAAGGCCGTATATTCTACAAGGTCTAGAATCACCTGCCTGGGAAACAGATCTTGTGTTTTAGTTCTAGGGTTCTAATGTCTGGCTCTGTAACATTCTAGGAATCTGGAGAAGACCAGCATTTCCTAAAACAGTGTTTGCAGGACACTGTTCTGCAGGATGCTAACAGGTATGCACATCCATTGGGAAAAATCTGGATTAATGGTTACTTGACTGCAGTACATGTGCAAAGCTTTAATATGGTAATCACAGTATAAATCTCCAAGATAAAATCCCATTATGAAGCCTTTAGTAAACTAAGTTGAGCAAGATCATGAGGCACGTTTGGAAATCCTTCAAAGAAGGCTGTTTTGTGTTTTTTCTAATTGCCACAATATTACTGAATGCTTCGTATCAGCTTCTAAGATGCTCTTACCTGATATGAGTTGCAGGTAGAGATTCATACTGGCGCGACAAAAAGAGCTCCCTATGTTTCAGCTGATGCTTCTGTTTATCAGTCAAGTCTGCCTCAATTGTTGTTTCCGATTCTTCCTCAATTTCTTCTACACAAATAAAATTTAAAAAATGCATTATTACAGGGCACATTATCTATCTGGACATTAAGACAGATCAACCTGTCATTCAAAATTTTCTTCAAACCAACTTTTACTATTTTATTTCAAATTTACATTTATTTAACTTGTCATTTGTGTTACAACCATAAAATGACATGAATTGGGGCCACAAACAAAGAGGAAGAACTCCAATTTTAAAATGGCAGATGGAACATATGCATTTATCTCCTCTTCCCCCATAAAACTACACCAAATAGCAATTAAAATGCACACACATTTCAATGACAATGAAAGTGGAAACAACGATAGAAGAAAAACTTTCAGCCAAAAAAAAGGTTTTAGAAGATGGAAAGCAGATGCAAAAAAAAAAAGACAAACTTAGCCAAGAGAAGGAAGTGACAATCTATATATGTACAGACAGATGCAAGGAGAAGGCAAGCACAAAGCTTGAAGTGACTTAGCCCTCAAAGATACCAAGTACTGTGAGAAAGAGGAGTGGGTGAGAGAAAAAGACAGCAGGAAAGGTTGAAAGTCTATCTACAACACTGTAACTAAATCCCAGAATACTCTATTTAAAAAAGAGAAAAATCAGGAAAAAAATTAAAAATTAAAAAGAGAATAATTGGAAAACAAGAAATAGGATAACACTTTTCAAATTTGATAACACAAACAAAAAGCTGGACAGAAGGATTAGAAGTTACTGCTAAGGAAATCTCCCAGAAATTTCAATACTAAGACAAAGAGATAAATAAGCGAAAACCAAAAGCTAAAATAAATAAAATAAAATAAAAAATTCATGAAGTCCAACATCCCAAGAATAAAAGTTCCAGAAAGAAACAACAGAAAAAACACATTTCTTCATCTCTTTTGGTGGGGAGAAGGGGTGAGGAAAGACTTATCAAAGAATGATTCAGGAACATTTCCCCTTATTGAGGGAGAGGGACGTCCAGACTGAATTTCTGGCATACTTAATTTTTTTTTTAAGTGCTAACATGAGATCACAAAAGTTTACAGAAAGAAAAATTAGGTCACATGCAAAGAAACTAGAGTCAGAGTGGAATTCTATATGAATAGCAACTATTCTATCCTAAGATGGTGGAGCAATGTTATCCAAGAGGAAAAATGATAGTCAACCTAGAATTGTACTTGTAAACTATTTATCAAGTCTGGAAACACAGTAAGAATAATATTTTATTCATTCAACCAAGATTTATTAGGTGCCCAAACAGGCACTTTTCGAGGTGTTGGAGATAACCAGTGAGCAAAAGTTATTAGGAAGAAACAATTCAAAGTATTTGCCTTTGAGAAACAGGGTTGGAAGCAAGGGAGAGGAGACAGCAACATTGCATGAAAGTAAAAAAAAAAAACAAAAAACCCACTGCATTTAATAATCTTTTTCCAGAAAAAAAATAGTGTCATTTACAAATACAATTCCAAATAATTTTATATACAAAAATTTCTTAATACCTCTAAGGGTTCACAGATCCTCTGCAGCCTTACCTGGGCCAGACTGTGTGGGAACAGCAGGGGCACTGAGGACTCAGATGGTGAGACTACTGGAAGGGGCAGTGCTCCTCATGTAGGAAGAGCTTAAGTTTAAGACTCAGAGGCCTTAATTTTGGGATACTGATAGGCAACACATACACAGATATACATGTGTGTGTATTTCTGCTCCTCGCTATTCTTACAAGTTCTCAGTTATGGGCCCAGAACCACAAATGAGATTTTATCACATACATAATTTTCTAATTATAACAGTGTTTTTGAACTGCACGAGGGCAATGAATGGGGCTAAGCCATCAGTCTTTTCTACAGTACTTTCAAATTTTTAAAACTCTTGATTGAAAATGAACCTGAAAAACTGATTTAGAAAGACTGACGTAGGTTAAAAAAACAAACAAACTAAAGCAACTTAAAGTTCTTTGAACTCTCTCTTAATGAACTACCCAAAGAGAAATCCAACACTAAAACAGTTACTTCCATAGACATTTCACCAGTGGAAATCAATGAAGTTATTGGTGCATTAGCTCTATTAGCACCAGCAAATATCACATACAAAATCATACTCTTTACTTAATGAGGATTTGATAAATTGCTGTCCTGTAAAACACAACTAACTGAATTCTAATGTGTACCCTACAGAGCTAAAACTGCAACAAGCTCTACAAATAATAGCAGCAAAACTTACTGTCTTATACAACCTCTTGGTACAGCGTGAAAAGAACTAGAATCTCTGACGTGCAATGGAGCCAAACACAGAAATCACCAAACAGCACCTAAAACTCACCTTCCAAAATTTACCAGTGTTAAATTTCATTTACGTATTTTCATAAATTTACAGTGGCTTCCGAATAGGAATGATTCCCATGCCGTTAACATCCTAAAAACATTAAATGACCACAGTGGCAAAGCTGGCATTTAGACAATGAAAAATTTAAAAGACTTCAGATGATTATCATCATCAGAAATTGGGTACATGGTAATATATTTATAACTTTTAAAAACCATTTTACCAAGCTTTATGGAACATCAAATTTGCTACCTTCCAAAAGTTATTAAAGTCCCATATCCTATACAGTGATAGGAAAGACGGATACTAAATTATTTATTGTACTTTCTTTATAGCTGGCAAAGCTTCACCAGTTTATTAGCAAGAAGGTACTGGAGATATGGAGGGGGAAAAAGACTGCAGAAGGAAACTGTACAAGAGGATTGTATGAAGTTTTAAGGAGCAATATAAATGTCACTATACTTTATACTGATATCTTCTGGGGCGCCTGGGTGGCTCAGTTAGTTAAGCATCTGCCTTTGGCTCAGGTCATGATCCCAGGATGCTGGGATCAAGCCCCACATCAGGCTCCCTGCTCAGTGGGGAGCCTCCTTCTCCCTCTGACCCTCCCCCTTCTCATGCTCTCTCTCTCACACACAAATAAATAAAAATCTTTAATTTAAAAAATACTGGTATCTTCTGTTTTAGTAGTATGTGCCATACAATGCATGACCCACCAAGGCTCCTGCAAATTTCAAGGTTTTCGACTGCAGTATGAGAAAGAAGCCATGGCTAAAAATCTCAGCAAGGCTAATTGCACATGCAGGCTGACAGGGGATGAGGTAAGGCCAGCACAAACAGTATCCAAGAAGCGGGCAGCAGAGAACAAATCAAACTAGCCAAACTGTCTAGAGCACCAGAGCATCCAGCCATGGGATATGGGAGATCAGTGTTCAGCGGTAGGTTACAATCAGGGACTCAGGCAAAGCTTTAGAGAATGGGCATGTGACATGTATAAGACCAGAGCCGTCGGCTGATGAATTTAGGTACCTGAACAATAAGGGACAGAATGAAGGGAAGGAGCAACCATTCCTGGTTCTAGTTCCTTGACTCAAAACTGGGTGTTTTTCTGAATAGTTCAGAATTCTCATTCTTCCATATTAGTTGGGAGGGATGGAGGGGAAAGCAGAGAGGAGGAGAGTCCTCCACAGGTTATTCTCAAGCTTCCTTTGGTCTGTATTTTAATGGAGCATCAGCCCGTGATGATGTTAGCTGGTACAGACCAGACAGAAAAGCAGGCAGTTAAACATTTGTCTGTAGATGCATTTAACAAGTACCCAAATGTTAGAAGGCATATTATTGGATTGAAAATAGCTCAGTATTGATGGAACTCAAGTTTGTCTAGTAAGAAAAAAAATCCTCAAAAAAGGAATAAGGAAGTTGAATAAAATTAGAAGGATTTTTATGACAATGGAAATTTCAGGGAACTATCTGAATGAAGAGAAACAGTTTGGCAGTTTAGAGGCAAATAATAAAGAAAAATCAGTTGTATTTCCATCATTAGCAATGAATAATCCAAAACGGAAATTAAGAAAACAATTTCATTTACAATGGCACCAATAGGAAAAAAATACTTAGAAAAATATTTAACAAAGGACAAATCTTGTAAACTAAAAACTATGAACACTGTTAAAGGAAATTAAAGACCTAAATAAATGGAAAAACCATGTTCACGGATTGAATGACTTACTATGGTTAATGTGGCAATTCTCCCTAAATTTATCTACAGATTCAATGCAACCTCTATCAAAATTCCAACTGCCTTTTCACAAATATTAATCAACTAACCCTAAAACTCATAAGGGCATATAAGTGACCCAGAATAGCCAAAATCGTTTTGAAAAAGAACAAATTTAAGAGGACTTTTCTACTTCCAGATTTTAAAGCTAAAATAACCAAAACTACGTGGTATTGGCATAAGGATAGACATATACATGAGTCCAGAAATAAGCCCATACATTTATGGTTAAATGATTTTGGACAAGGGTATCAAGACAATTCATTGGAGGAATGAAATTTTTTCTACAAATGATGCTGAGAACAGCTGGATATCCACATGCAAAGAATAAAGTTTCACCCTCACACAATATATAAAAATTAACGCAAACTGAATCAGTCCTAAATATAAGAGCTAAAACTAGGGGTGCCTGGGTGGCTCAGTCAGTTAAGCGACCGACTCTTGGTTTCAGTTCAGGTCATGATCCCAGGGTTGTGAGATCAAGTCCCGCATCACGCTCTGCACTAGGCGTGGAGCCTGCTTAAGATTCTCTCTCCCTCTCTCTCTGCCCCACATCCTGTGCTCATGCACTCTCTCTCTCTCTCAAAAAAAAAGAGAGAGAGCTAAAACTACAAAACTCTTAGATAAAACATAGGTGTAGCTTTTCATGACCTTAGACTAGGTAATGGTTTCTTCACTATGGCACCCTAAAGCCTAAGCAACCAAAACATAAAATAAATATATACATATAGATATATATATCATATATGTATGTATATGTATATAAATTTGAATATTAAAATATTTGTACTTAAAAGGACACTAACAAGAAAGTAGAGATGGGGGTGCCTGGGTGGCTCAGTCGTTGAGCATCTGCCTTCACCTCGCGTCATGGTCCTGGGTCCCTGGGATCGAGACCCGCATCGGGGTCCCTGCTCAGCG